TTCTCGAATAATTTTCTTGAACAAATTTCTTGAATAGATTCGCAATCTTTAATAAATGTTTAGAACGAATTTGCTATCGTTTCAATTTATTCTCTGGCCGAATCTGTGTCCTCAAGGAACGTGGGTTTACCAACGGGAGTCTTCATACAAAGCACATGCATTCAGCCTCAGTAAGAGGCAGTCCTCCCTCCGCGTGGTCACGTATTTGATTATCCTCAAATAGAAAGATAATTGAATTAAAAAGAGGTCTCGCGGTTCCTCGGGAGAGGAAAGCCCCGATAGGAGCATCGTCGAGGTCTCCTTCGATCGCAGGGATAGCGTCCCGAGCACGTAGAGCATCGAGGGTCGGCCATGTCCTGGATCTTCGGTATCAACTAGAAATTGGCTGCGAGCCGGTAAATTAGACGACGATTGGCAATTTCCACGCTAAGCCTCGCCATTTCCCGCGCCCAGCACGCCTTCGTTCGTCAAGCACAGCTCCTCGTAATTGACAGCAATTAGCCCGTGAATGAAGACGCGTTAAATTCCTTCGCGTAACGCGACACCCGCTGCGACCAAATTGTTCCATTCGGTATCGAAATCTAATATACAAGATAGATTCGTGGAAAATTTGTTCAATTATTTGACACTTAACTTTATCTCAAGGCGTACACAACCAAAACAAAATCCTCCAAACAGAATATTAAAGCTAGTCAAAAGGTGGACCACTATTTATTCCCAAAAATCTAATACCAGAAAGTTAAAAGGTCCCCTTCGGTCAACCCATTCGATCTAAACCTCACGCAAAAGAACGAACGAAGCGCGAATGATCGTCGCCCGAAGCGCAGGGGAACGCAGTAGTTGCGAACGATTTTGATCAGCCCGGCAGTCGATTGGAAATTCGCCTGTCCGCGTGGTTTAGACGTTGAAGTCCGTTCATTAGTCATAGTCGAATTATGGTCGCGCTAGATCGGATTGGTCGTCGTTTTGCGTCGCGTTCCCTCGGCCAAATGATTCGATGTTATCACTCCAACCGCGTCAAATACTTTTTGTGCGTCGCTTGCGATTCGCAATAGTCGAATGACGACGCGTTCGCGAAAAACGAAGAGCATTGGCGAATAAAAGGACACCGACGGGCGGGCTCTTGCTTTCTCATCCGGCTGGAAATTGATTTTGAGCTCATTCGTTTACCCCTGGAGAATTAACTGGAGCGGATTGATGAACAGAGTTTAACGTTTTCGGGGCTTTTTATCTGTTTCTCGTTTCCTCTCGTACAGAGACGCGCGGCGGTGACGAATAACGCGTGGGTGGAACCGCTGGAAGAGCGAGGTCGATGTTATAACTAGATTTGCGAATGTTTATGCATTTATTGGCAAGTAAAGAATGCGTACAAGTGCATTAACATATATTAGGTTGTCCCGAAAGTTTCTTTCGCGAGTTGCGCTCGATTATTTTATGTGGTCGTGTTTATATAAATAGACAATCTAATTTCATAGATATTCATGTTGTTCACAATATTCAGTAATGTAACATAAAACATAAAATATTGTGCATGTATTACTTATTAATAAAGCGAAAGAAACTTTTCGGACAACCTAATTAAATATGAATAATAATATAAACCTTGTAACATTTACAAGCCAAAACATAGATTAATTTACGTTTTTGTTCTTCATCTCTGTATAGAAAAATATGAATTTGCATAAACATTCGTGTAAACATTCTCGGAACATGTTTCGTCGTAGTTTGATTATACTGTGAACAGTTGAAAATGAATACGAATGGGTTGGAAACGATTCTGTTCGATTAATACATCGAAGTCGTCTAAATACTAGTCTAGAATAAAACTGTCTTTAATAATGTTAGATACATTATTTTATTCGGTTCGATTGTTGTGCACTGTTTCAGAGTGAGCAGTGTTCAGTGACATTTGTTTTATTTGTTCAGCGAAAAAATCGTGCATGGTGGATTGGTCAATTGCTCGTGGCGATATCGATGCACGCGCGACTCATGATTCGCAACACGCATTGGCATGGAAAACGAAAAGAGAAATAAAAACGGGGAAGCCAGGCAGGATTCAATGGTCTGAGATTCAGGGATTGCGATGATTGCTTGCGTGCTAAAAGAAATTGTAAAAAAATAACGCTTTTTGATAATTCGCTTCACGAATTATACGCGTGCAACCGTTAACAAGTAACTAACAGCTGTTATCCAACAGACATCTCTGCTAGGACGCTCGATTGCCAAATGCTGATTTTTATGAAATTTTTGATGAAATTTTCCATTTGTACCGGCTAGCAAGTATGTTGTATTTTGTTGATGTTGCTTCAAAGTCAAAGAGAGTTAATTTGTCATTTATCGTATCTTTCGGAACGAACTAATGAACATTTGTGCAAAAGTTTCATAAAAATTAACCACCTGACAGTACGTATGTTTCTTTATTAGACAGTCTATGTATAGTCTACCTAGGTAATATATGTTTCAATGTATTCGCAAGTCCGTTTAAACACCTAAGTATGTGCGTTAGTTGGAGAGACAGTGAATGTTGAGATTGTAATAAATTCAAGCGAATACCCAGACAAGCATAGTTTAAACGTATTTTATTAAAACGTTTCTATCGCTGACACGCCGTCCTCTTCAGTGTTAACCACATACCTTTAGTTTTATGTAAAAGTATCCTATTTTTATATGTTTTTACATAGGCTCAAAATTATAAGTTAATACCGAAGAGAACCGAAACTCAAAGGTCCAAACCTTTAACTGGAGCTTGAACGATGCTTGTTTGGCTATTTTTTTGAGCATCGATGGTCGTTCGTCGTCCGATGGCGCCGCTCGCGACGGAACATTTATCTCAGGGGGTTTCGCGTTCGGCAATGTTTAATAATCGATTCTTATCACAGAAGTTATTTACACGATACACGCTTCGATCTGTCCGGCTCGATAGACCGAGCCTCGTATCGATGACGCTCGTATCGAACGGATCAGGATTTCATTCGCGTTCCCTGTTTCCCTTCTTCTTCTTCTTTGAAGCACGGGACAAGAAAATCTAGCCGTTCTATCGGAAAAAGACACGAGAAATTCGCTCGTTTCTGCCAGTCGTTGTTGCAAATATTCCCTTTCAAACATTAATTATTTTCAATCTTTTTTTATATATTTTTTTTTTTTTTTAGATCATGCCGAGGTAATGACAGTAGAAACATCGACATTTTCTGCGACAACGCACGTTACAGTCGAAGAATAAAAGATCGATCGTTTGGCTAACCTCGAGGAAAAGTTAAAGTTTTCGAAACGTCGGGAATTCCCGATTTCCAGTAATCATTCACGATAAGTTCCGAGCGTTTGCATTCAATGCTAATTTAAATTAAATGTTCGAGGCTGGCAAGAATTTTTCCCGAACGCTGATCTGTACAGTTCAATTTCAGTGTGTCGACGAATTCTCAAAAATCAGAGCGATTTGTGTCACGACTAGGGCCGGGACTATTCGTATAATATACTGTTCGAATTTCATGGATATTCGAATACCGCGAATAAATATTGAATATTTGAGCCTTAGTATTTGAATATTAGATTACACTATTCGAATATTATTTTCTCATAATAATTGAACGTTCGCTGGGTATCCGACTAATTTAATATTTCAATATTTGAATGTGTATTCGAAGTACATTCGTCGAATAATCACCGTCGTCCACGGCTTTTCGAATAGAGAAGAATCGTATAAAGTAGTCCCAGGCCTAGCCTCGAATATCGAAGAAGTCGAACGCTAGCACCGTCACCGACGCGAAACGAAACGAAACTCGTTACCAAAACGTGTATTCGCGTAATCGTGTACCTTCTCGTCTATTGGCAATAATAATAGCAGCGTTTTACGATGACGATAGTCGTATCGATAGTATTAACGATGGCAATAGCAGCAGTAACAACAGCGATGATGGCAATGATGATAATGATAAGTAATAACCATAATAATCATAATAATGATAATAATAATAGCCATGATGATAAGAAGAATGATAATAAAATAATAACAACAATAATAATAACAATAATGATAGCGTTTCGTAGCACTAGTTGTATAGTAATAGTATTATAGATAGTAGTAGTAGTAGTAGTAGTAGTAGTAGTAGTAGTAGTAATAGTAATAGTAATAGTAATAGTAATAGTAATAGTAATAGTAATAGTATTAGTATTAGTATTAGTAGTAGTAGTAGTAGTAGTAGTAGTAGTAGTAGTAGTAGTAGTAGTCGTAATGATAGTAGTAATAACGATGACGTTTCCGGCAATAAACGATAACATTTTCACACCGACGAAACGATGATCGCATACACCGATTTTCTAAATGTTATTCGTTACATTATACACGGACGTCCGTCATATTTTATTTTTGGTTGATGCGCCCCATTACCTTCCAAGATGATCCTAATAAATTCGATACCCTCAAACGATGCAAATATTGTGTGAAATTTCTTAGCTGATATTCGCTACGTTTCGCCTAATGAGCATTCGTATTAAAAATGCACCCCTTTGCCATTTCGTCTCTTCGATATAAAACTTTGTTTTTTCTCTCCCTTTTTTTTTTGTTTACACCGTTGTGGAATACATTATTCTATATTTTTTGTATTTTTGTTTAATCGTAGCGGTATATTATCCTTTCACCTTGTTACCGTTGTTAATACTTATTTGGTCTCGTCTTTCCGCGACCGCGACACGGCACGTTTCATCTCACCCGACGCTTCGATCGGAGTCGATTTTAAATTTAACCTTTCGCGTTAACAGAATTTCCATTAATCGGAGCTGTTGGTTGTTTCGAAACAATTTTGTGCCGCAGATTTTTATAAATCGAGCGCTGTTTGTTTTGCAACGTCTATTCGGAATTAAAATTACTATTTGTAAATTGTAAAGCAAATTTAAAACTTAAATTGTATTAGGTTGATTTACGAATTCATTTTACTGTGGGTAATCATATGCCAACCCTCGGCAGTTAGCACCTTTTAATTAATACTGTCGAATGGGAAAGTACCATCACGATCTCGAGCGTATACTCCTCGTGCAAATCATACTGCGAATCAAAAAAATTACTCTAGGTCGTAGATCAATGTTTCAACTCGAATGCTCATCGAATTCCCATCGATTATAAAATTGTCGATCGTCCCCCCTATTCGATCTAGCTTTGGTATTTTATTTGTTAAGAGTTCAATGCGTATTTTCGTTGTTCTCGGAACTGTCCTAAATATCGCCATACCAATCACGAGTGCGCGCACACAATGATTCGCGATTCTCGCATCGCTCAAAATGATTGTCGGCGATTATGATTACGAAAAACGTGTTTCGTGACGAAATTTTGGACAATCCTTATTTGCGTTTTCTTTTATGAACGCGTGCTTCTCGCGTATGGCGATACACACTCTCTTCGTCGTTTTCATTTTTTCTTTTTTTTTTTTTTTTGGCGTTTATGATAATCGAACAGGAGTCGACGATTTTTTTGTTTTATTTATTTGTTACGTTGAAGGAGATTGCCAAAAATCGTTTTCACCGTTGTTCGCGAGAAAGATTCAATTCGGACAATCACGTTTGGAATATTCCACGATTATTTTAACGGAAATTATTATATCCAGATTGAATAGTTTCAATATTCTTACTTATGCTTTACTCTTATAATTATTTACTGACACTGCTCGTGATACTTATTACGTTGCTACGTTGTATTGAGTCCCACGACATGCAAACAGTTGTTATGTACAATGTTTATTTGAGTATTTAATCAGAACACCACCAAGTTATTCATTTATTATGTTTTCAGCGTCGTTTGAACAATTATAGTACTCTCTCATTCCGTACAGCCTCGTCACTGGTGAAAATAGATTTGGTTTTTCTCGTAGTTAGTCAGGATTTAATATTTTTTTTTTGTGCGATTGCGGAGAGCAATGACTGTACTACTGTGAAATAGCGTTACTCTGCGCCAGAGATGGACGTTATTCGAACGAATATTTATTTGAATGAATCTCCATCGGAATAGAATTTTATTCGAATTTATTTTTATTCCAACACAATGTCCTGTTAGTTCGACACCTCCGAATTTGTGAATAACATAATTACACGCAACAATCTCAAACAGACTTTTATACACGGTTTAACTAAAATTAGCGTGGACAGACGATGCAAATTCTAGGATTATAACACGTAAATCGAGACCTTTGTTTTACAAATTAACACTAAAAAAGTTTCTATTCTACAAATTCTCAATTTTCATGTTGTGATCCTAAACTTTACATCGTCTTCCTATCAAGGTATTACTTAATAATAATAGCACTCGATCTTGATGTAAAAATCGTTCTCAAATTAAATGTAATTATATTTTCTTACAGATTCTGAAGACGAACTCGAATCCACAGCGTCAATACGTAAGTAAATGCTCGTTTTCGAGACTCCGTCAGTATTTATTTTTACACGTTTGCAAAAATGTTTGACAAAATGTTGTCGATCTTTCCTTCGTTATTCGACAATTTCATCTGAATAAGAATCCTGCCCACCTCTGTTACGCCAGCAGCTGTGAACGTAATCGTATAAGTTTACGATAATCATTTTCCACGCGTGTTTCCCGGTGTATTGTTAAATTTACATTCGTTGTACGATACGAGGAACCGTGTGTTCCAAACAGTTCTTCCGTTTATCGCCCGTTACGTTTATCTAAATCTCATGCGAGTAATTTCATGAGGAAACGAACCGTAATACTGCGTGTTATATTTTGGTATTCTTCTCAAGACTTCTCAAGTCTTTTCAAAATGTAAATGTTACATTTGGACACTCTTTTGCGAATTTAGGACCTTTTTAAAGTCTATGTAATTATTTTTGTAATTAATGAAAGTGTATGCAAACGAATTTCTCGATTGCTGAATTTAAAGTGACTACATCGATAAATGTATACACATATACTGTCGTTCATAGACATTACTTTTGGAGCACTCTAATCTTTATAAAAGTAAAAAATGTACACACGCCGATACGTACTTCATTGAATATTGTACTATTTTACATCGTATTACTACTGGTACGATATTATGATAAAAATTGAACGTCACAAATATTCTTCAGAATCATGAAGCACTGATTACAATTCATATCCATTATGGTAGAACGTGTCTTCTGACACGTCCTACAGTTTCTTCTATCAGTTTCTGTAAATTCACAGTTATTACAATGTTATAGTTTCGCTTGCATGGATAACATAGACGATTACTTGCACACTATTAGGAAAATGTCTAAATTTAAGTACAATTACAATTTCCATCCCATATTACACTCAAGTATCGCTCCAGTAAAATGAATGGACAATATTATAAAAATAGGTTCGTTTAAATAAAGACGATTATTCCAAAATTGTAAACAACAGTATATATGCATTCATTGTTTATCTAGGTCGAATCGTATAATCAACGACGGTCATGTCGATCCTAATTAGGATCAACATATTTTATTTAATATAAAGAAGCTACTTAATTAAATACAACGCAAACAATAATATTCCCCATGTAATTTCCGATATAAATACAAAACAACTGTGTTATATCTTTAGCAATAAATTGAACAATAGCATCTGCAAACCGTGGTTGTGAAAAGGCTAATCGACACAGCCGTATAACGAGACGTTTCCTCGATTGAACAATTTCTGCTCGATCAGAGTACAGCCATTGAAAACTTCCACGCGGAATAGCATATTTTGAGGGTTGTACCCGTGGAGCGATGTATCTCGCCCCGTCTTTAATATTGTTATTGGTTTTTGCTACCTATCATCGTGGGCTCTAAAGATGTTTCGAGAACTCAGATTCGTGTCTGTACGGAAAGCAGGGGTCGTCCAACGTTGGCAGTTTTGTCTACTATATCGTCCCTTATTCTCCCCAACATCCGCCACGCACATCCCAGCAATCAAGTACAACAAACGGAACAAGTACAGCGACTTCTCCAACCGGAGTTGCCGAGTCATCGTTATCCACGCTTAGCCGATCTCAAATAGGTCCACTTTCTTTCCATTCGTACCAGAACTTAATTTCTAAGGAAGAAGCATCCCTTAAGAAAATGATTTAGTTTCAAAAAGAATACATCGTAGGAGTTCGTTCCTGGGCGCGGGACTCGATTCCACGCGCCCTGTGTAAATATAAAATTCTCCCAATTATGAAAAACGTTTCTAGGCGGGGTTTTCAGACGATGATTCGTGGCTTCATTGGCTTTTCGTTCGAATTTTTTTGAGAGTCACCCATATTTGTTCCCATTAATCATACGTGCCTTTTTATTCTCTCACGTCTCTACCTGTGAAAGGGTTGGACACCCCTGGCTCCACTGTTGTATTTGGCAGTTATTTAAAGACCGTTGTCGGTACCACGGGGCGGTGGGCGGGGGGGCGGGGGGGGGAGGGACCCTTGTAACACTGACGAATTCGATCGTTAACGTCCACGCGCACAGCGAGTATCGTTAATATATTATTTATTCAATTTATCGTTAACGCGTTACGACGTAATCTATACATATCATGTGTGCCTTTAAAGGTAGTATTATCGTTTAGATCGTTTATCCCCCAAAAAATCGTAATCGTAACTTACTAGGTAATATTATCGTTATCAATATATTACCATTAATTATTACCGATTATTATCGTTACTATTATCATTATTGTTATTGTTATTATTATTATTATTACTATTATTGTTGTTGTCCTTCTTCATTCTGTTGTTCGTGTTGTTACTATTATTATTGAAAAGGCCGCGACAACGTTTTCTCGAGGAATTGTTTGAACGCCGGCGCCGCGTCTCGAAATTCACATGCTCCGAGGACACTCGTTTCGATCGATTCTCGATCGTTGCCCGACGAACGATCGATTTCTATCTACCTAAATCCGAGGAGGAACGGGCGAAAGTGAGTTGGGGAGAGGGTGAAAGGAGGAGCGATCGATCGTTCGGTCGAATAGAAGTTTCAAGCCGAAGAAAGTGAACGAACGCACAACGTGGCCGTCTATTGTCAACGATATGCCGAGGCGCCCTTCTCTGGTCCTCCTGTACGCGATCAGCTCGTCCGCATTTAGTACACCGTCTCGAATCCGCGCGAGGAACGTTTCGAACGGTACGGCGCGATAAGTCGAGACGAATCGAATCCTCGCGATGCTTCCTCGTGCCTCCGCTGGGTCTCCTCTTCGGTGTCAACTGGGTCTTCGTCCGCTTGGAAGCACAATGCGCGGGCCCGCGCTGCTACGCTCTGCTCTCTGGCGTCCAATTTCTCCGTTACGGGGTTTCCCTTCCCGCGGAAGAAGAAACGGCGGGTCCAGAGCGAGAGGAAAGGAAATGTCGAGTAACGAAGCCCGTTTTCTCGATCGTGGTTCGTTACTTCGCACCGCAGCAGCTTCCTCGAAGCCCACGTGTTCGTCGTTTCTGGAGAACAGAGGGAAATTAATGGGTTGCGTTGTGTACGCAAAGCGGAAAATGATTGCTAGACTGCGGATGTTTGTGAAGTGGGTAGTTTGTGTACTGGGTTGGCAGTGTTTCGTCTGTGTTAAGCATAGACGTTTTTTTCGTATAAATTTAAATTCGTAATTTATAATAAACTGTTGAGTTCGTTTTTAACAGGGCAGTATTTGTTTAAATAGTTTGAGGTATGCTTTATTGAAAAGAAGCGCATTTTTATATATCCAGTCGCCACTTGTTGGGTAAAAAGCGTTCGTCGCATGGATATCACAATTGGTTAGAGCAGTCGCGCAGCAAACGGAAGATCCGGATTCGACTTCCGGACCAGTAATCCGATCAATCGATTCCTTTTCTCCCGAGACAATGGAGGCGCTAGATAGGAAATTGGGCTATCGTTGAATTGGTTAAGATGGATCTGTTCAGTTGCCACCTCGTCCTCCATACCTTGCACTTACAAATTATTTTCTTTAATTTATTCCTTTTTTCCTTGTCCCATCGATACAGAGTACCGAAACAAAAAATACATATACATTCCATATAAATTTCGAGAAACAAACGGTATTCTGGAATTTGTATCAAATACAGAAACATTAGAAGAAACCTGTCGTCGCATGCGCAGGTTAAAATCATCTAACTTCCCGTTTATAAAACGCGCGAATGCTCTCAATGTCAGGGACATTGTTTGTTGGAAAGAAAATTCGATGGAATTATATAAATCGGCCCAGCCGGAGATGATATTTTTTGTATACCAACGCAATTGCATAAAATTTGCCGGGAATATTCGAAAATTCAATTTCGCCTGCCGACAGTTTCCAATGGCATTGTCCATTATTCGCAGAAAATTGTACACCGTTTCGAAGAAATTATCGACGCGGCAACGGACAGGCTAACCTCGTTATGTAAAACAAATTAACGTTCCCGCACTGTATTAATTCTGCTTTTCGCGTGTCTCTCGCTTCGCGTTAAGTGCGATGTTACATGATATTCGAATGAAACAACACGTGAGCGCGTTCTGAAAACATTATTAGAAATTTACGTGTCAATTTCGTTGGAAAAGCGACGGACAGTTTGGTTGGTATATCGATACTTCGCATTAATAAAAATTACGCTGTCTGGAAGGTAGTAGAGTATATATTCTTTAATTAATTAATGTTATAGTTACCTTTGGCATTTTTTGTGCATTGTTTCGGTAACTTGACCGGGGCAGTCTATTTACTGGACGATTATGTGTGGCGCACGACTCAAAATGAATATCGTAACCACGAGCGTGAACAACGTGAAGGTGTACAAACAAAACCTGCGATTAAAAGAAATGAATGGTTATTTAGTGACATTTTGAAACTTAAAATATATATTTAGATTTTAGTATAAGGTCGTACAATTTTGGAAATAAACATAGAAATCGTTCTTGGATCAATCGAATGCACCGACACCTCGATAAAAGTTACCAGTTTGGTCCCGTACGGAGACTTTTAAAAGAGGTTTTCGTAAAATAAGAAAAGTGAAATATGTTCAACCTGTCCACCACCATGGCGGCGAATTTCCAATCGTTGACGGTCTCGTCCTCTTCTTCCGCTTTTTTCATAAGATCCGTAATGAATCGCAATTCTTTAAGAATCGTGCGCAGCTCTTGCTGCATACCATTGAGGGGTAACGACACCGATGTGTCCTCGACCGTCGCTGGTCTTCCGGTGGATATCGGTGTGCCGAACGCCGTGTTACTGTCGAACAATCGAACAACAAATTTATTAGAAAATAAAAGGAACGAGGATTGAATTTAAAAAAAAAAAAGAGAAAAAATTCTGGAGAAACTATCATTTAAGAAAAACTATTTTGCAGTAGTAGAAACGAGGAGAAGAAAAGAGATTGACTTGCTTGAGACTTGTCGCTGGAGTTAATATAATTAGAATAGGCCTGTCACTAAATATCCCTCATTTTTGTTTTGGATTGTATAGATCGTTGGAACATGTTCAAGATGACAATTGAAACGATCAGGTTCCGCCACGAAACCGAATTACGTCAGATGTCCTCATTATGATGTCTACGGTGACCTATTATCTAGCTTCTTACGAATTGATTACGCCACAGAGTCGTCATTGGTTGCGTTAATGATTGATCTCGAGATGCATAGTTGCCCCTTGCGGCGAATCAATAGCGTAGCAGCTATAGTTTGACTTTGAATGCGTGAATATTGCATCTCAGCGAGGATGAGTCAGAATGCCACGTTTGGAGGGATTACATTAGCTTTGTCCTGTTCGTACAACGATACAATTAGCAATAAGTAGAAACGTTGGTTTCGACAAAAACTATTCTAGTGTTAACCAGAAATGTGAAAAATGAGTCGTACGATAATAAATGATTTTGTATTTAGATCATGGTAATCGTAGATAATGCTTTTCTCTGCTAAAGTCCACTCGAACGTTCGCGGAATATCTCACGCTGGAGTGTTTCGCAAATAAACTTTCACGGAGCTTTCTGTCTAGTAGACAGTGGGCATACAGAATTATTTGACCAGAGATTTCTGAACTGGCATTCGATATCGGGAAGGTATCACAGACAGGCACCAAAGGAAAAGAGAAAATCCTCAACCAAGGAGGTGAGGGGCAATAGATTGAAAATGCAAACGAATTTCTGTCCCGAGGAATCTGTATTTCGAGATTCGGACACTTTATCGAAAGATATGGAGATAAAAAAGAAAACAAGACCTGGTATCAGGCGAACCGAGCCTTTAATCAATGCTCGTCGATAACGTTCTTCCTGGATATTAAATTCAACTGTTTCACAGATATTTTATAGATGGCAGAATATAATTAGATTTTTCCGATTCGTATCGTACAAATTCGTGACGCGGTTTGTGCTTGTACTTAGTAAAAAGCTTCAGTAAAAGAATTAGTAAAAATAAGAATTTGCATAGACATCTGCAGCCCAGTGATTACATTTTCTCTCGTTTTAATTCGAATAGCAGAACGAGTGGCGTGAATTCATGGAATGACCTATCATTTGTGGGAATTACATGGAATAACAGAGTCTAACAAACTATTCCAGTCTATAATCCACCGCTAGCCTTTGTGCTTCGTATGATAACACGATTATCTCAGCGATGAAATTCATCCGTTCCGATACAATTTGCTAAAATTATCTGCCGACATTTTACAACGTTATCGCGTCACATATCGAGACTGATTCGATGTGGAACGCTCTGTGGAACGAGGACTATGCGCGTTGAATTACTTCGTCATCCTGGCTATGTTGATTTGAAATCACGCATCGGTGGAGCCAATTTTCAGCTCATTTACATAGAATGTTAATATCGCGCTAGTCACGATTATAGAAGAAAAATAAAATTCAAGTTGCACACCGATGAATAGTGTTAGCAACTTGTTGTTCATAATATTGCCACACGAATGAAAAATTTTAATAGTAAAGCTAAGCAAAAGCTGGGGTAGTTTTAAACCCACCTAATTACAAAAAGTTAAACGAATAAGAAGACGAACGATAAATTCCACCTTTCATAATGTTCTCAAGTTTATTTGAATTTTACGAAACGATGCTCGTTTCTTGTGTTTATAATAGGAACGATTTCATGGTAGAAATAACAAATACTCGAAGTTAAGAAGATACAACGTTACCTGGTGTATCCGGAAGATGGATTTGCTGCGCTATTTCTGTGACAAAAGTCATCGTCGAGTCCTAAAACGTTTGCCATCAGACTCTTACTACCTCCTTCTCTCAGCACCGGGTCCTTCATCCGGTTGGATAAAAAAAGATTCTTCGCCGAGAGGTCCTTTCCCGGACGACTCATGCGTATCATCCACGGTAGCCATTTCAGAAGCACCGATTTTATCTACGTGGAACGCAAGAAGCAAATATTAAACAGGTTTCTGGGGATAGATGATACGTATGCTTAAAGTTGTACGTCTCGATTTAACGAAACCTTGCTCGATAATATCATGTACCTAGGATAATTTCTTTTCGATTTGGTTGCCATCGAAAGAACATTTGCTTCACTGCGATAGCAATATATTATTATCTAACATTTAATTATTCAACAGTCTGGAGGAGATTCTTACTTTTAACTCGCAACAAGAAACTTCGTTTGCTCCAGTCACGATAAGACACGACGTTTACTCATGGAGATAGATCAGACGTTATTAAATTACGAATGTTTACCGCTCGTATTTGTAAATTTAATTCCTCGCGGTTCAATTTGCCCCAGCAGCGTGCACGTCGTGATTTCTTTTTGTTATTTGCATAAAGTTGGGTCACTCCGGGGGCTCACTTCCACCGGGACTTAATGGCAAGGAAAACTACCACCGGGAATTTTTTTCTAGCTGTAGGATTCTTGTCTCTACTTGAAGTACGTTTTCCCCTCGGTTTATGAAACTTCTAGTAATCAACGGTCAAGAGGATGTGCTAACGCCTCGAAGGCGCTTTAAACTTTCAGCAACTAAAGCACCATCTCAAACGGCTCTAATGGCCACCGCGGATAAGGTCGGAGCTTTAAACTGGTGTTATGCATCGGTATTCTTTCTCTACCATTGTAGAAAACCATTCGCGTTCAACTAAACAAATTTCCTGGTTAATTAGTTTCGCGGGAGCACAGACTTTTTGTTAGAAGATTTTTCAGTGAGAAATTTGTGTGATTTGTATTTGTACATCAGATTTATAATTCACTGTTTAGTCATAGTAATGGTAGAGCTAGGCATGACGAGCACGCCACCACTGGTTCGCATGCTCGCCGTGCGCTGAAACGATGATGGTCAGCTTTAAGATAAATGTTTTTCAAACTATTTGTCCCCTATGAAAAGTACTACACTTTCTTTGCTTTTCAAAATTCCAAAACCGTGAACAAGTCAACAATGAAATACGTAGTTTTAAATAAGTACCGTGTAAGAAGATGAAAGATATTTTTATTTAAATCTCTTATCTGAATTCGAAAAAAATACGAACTGGCATATAAATATTCGCAGTTTGGTAATAACAATGAAAAATAACGAGATACAATCCTATGACAATCCTCTTAATAAACTCCAACAATGTTATTAAACGTTAATATCCGTTCAATTCGTTGGTCTTTTGTATTATAAACCTGGAACGCAATTTTCTAAATTGAACTAATTCTTACGGTAACTGTACATCTCATTTACGCCTGCCGCTTCATAATTATGCGGCTGTATTTAGATGAAGCGCATTTAACGTATTAATATTGAAACAGGGATTACGAAATACGTGAGTTATATATTACAATGAGATTCATTAATAATAATACTCAATTCCATGTTCAATTTATGACACGCATTTCAGACACGCGTAATTCAGGATGTTTTAATTCTATGTTGTAATAGTGGGAACACTCTACAGCGAAAAAAGATGCGTTTAAATCCCGAGTGAAATCGTTTAATCGCGGAAGAATAAAAGGGAGATCATTTTTAAAACTCTACTTCGTTTTATCTATAAATTTCTTCTGCATTGAATTCTCATTTCATTATTTATTTTTGCAAGTAAGGAGCAACTTCAATCAACCCTTTTGATAAACAGGTGAGCTCGTATCAATTTACTTTATTCTTCTCGCGAGCAGAAACCATTAGAGTAAAGGTAAACGCTTACAACGTTAAAGCATCAACGTGAAACGCATCTAAGAAAGAAGCTGCCCCTCTCTGACCGGCAAAACGCGAAACAAAATGAAAACGGAAACGTAAAATTACGTCTGGACGAGTTTCTTACCCAATCCGGCATCACGTATCTGTCGGGCGTTCTGTGATGATAGTTGAGCACCATCACCGTCATAAGGACGCTCATCGCCACCATGAACATGATGCAATTGAAGTACGTCCCTGAATTCGGGGTGTTCCCGAAGATACCCCGAAGGAAAAAAAAACACAGAAAGACGGCGATTAGTCACGGTAATGGATCGGCGATCCACTCAATTAGTCGTCGCGAATGAAAGACTGCGAGGGGTGGTGTCCGAGATCTATCGTTCGCCATCATCGTGAAACTCTCGTGTTTTCTCGCTCCCCTGGTAATCTTACATTCGATCTTACGACTAAGCACATTCATTTCTCCACGTACACTGAATAATTGCGAGGAAACGAGTCCGTGGAACACGCTTAAGCGAAAACCCGCGACTGAGCGCTATTATCGTTTCAGCGAGCGACGAGTACGCGAATCAACTGTTGTGGCTCACAGTGGAAGGACGGAACGTAACGAAGCATTGATACAAAATTTCATCAAGTACCACTCGTTACTCCAAAATCGGGTTGAATTGAAAATGGCTCAACCCACTTTCAAGTGCACCATCGGTCTCGAATTTCTCACTTAAAAGCAGGAGTCTATCTCGACAATCCAGCAAGGTGTCTAATACCCATATACCCGGTGCTCCATTGCAACACTGCTGAACGTCGCGCGCAGGGAATATTCGCCAGAGAAATTCGTGTTCCACGGTTCAAGGTAGCCCCTGGATCCTAGATCTCTCGTTTTACGCTCGCGTTTCAGGGAAGAGCACACCGTATACACGATTACACCGTCGTCCATTCATTCCGCGCGACTCGAAGCAGCGTTCCCGCCGATTCTTTGTGGGTTCGTTTCTCGTTACAGCGAATGGGTGCACAGACGAGGGGATAAAGAGAGAAAGAAATTAGGCGGGCGAAGAACGAAAGGGAAGATCGTAAAAAAAAGCGCACAGTACACTCGAGGCTACGGTCAGGGGGTTAGAATCGAGCTTGTAACAGACACAGAAATACAGAAGCGTACTTACGTGCGTTTGTACGCGCAGACGAAAACAAATGCTTTGCTTCTTTGTCTTTTTTTTTTCTTTTTCTTTTTGCTCTGGTCTTAATCGTGACCACGGCCAAAACGCTCGCCGCCTGGTGTCGAGAGAACTTGTTACAGCTTGTCTTTTACATGCTCGCTGTGGCGTGCTCCCGTTTAATGCGTCGATTCTCTCGCGCTCGTTGTTCTCCAGACTTGTCTTAGTATAGTTTCGAAACTTTTGCAGTAATGCTTTAACGCACGGTCTGCTGTTACGCGAGCTAATGTCTCGTTTACGGCCGCGCATTAAAATTTTAGCGGTTTGTATAACAACGCGTCTCGTTTGTTTTCCGCGCTTTTCTTTGATCTCTTTTGCTTCGCTTTCCTGATACGTCTATTTCTGATCTAACGAAATCATTTTGTACGAGGCTCTGTTTTTGGAGTAGACAACTTTGAAAACGAGGAACTTTACAGTGGAGACTTCTAGCTCGATTTTTGCTGGTTATTATAAAATATTTGAAGTATTCAGACAAATTGTATGGGAACATAAGAATCTCTTCATTTCTGGTGACACCTATCTTCGCATCAAACCCAATAGTTCTCGAGATTTCTACTGCCGATCCGGCTTTGCGCAGGATATTCGTAAAAAAAGTACGCAACAAACTCAGTTTGACAAAAATATTTTTCCAATTAAATCTGAAGTGACTAGACCAGTTCAACAACGTGTTCATCTCGCCCACGAGACTCTTTCGCACGCTACTCGATATCCATAGACGGATATCGTTCGTGCGTTCCATATTTCAGCGGGACGCAACCCCGCTTCGTGCGAGTAGGAAGTGTTAAGGAGCACTTTAATAACGAGTCCTCTCGAATTGTCTGCGGCGATGTGCATCGCTGACCCGGTCTGTGCCTCGGTGGGGAAACATCTAACACATTGGCATGCAGCTACGGAATGCAATTACTACCAGGATGCACGAGTACCCTGCGTGTTGAGCCACGAATATTGTTACAGTATCTACGCCCGCATGCAATTCAGCGAAGAACTAAGCGTTTACGTAAAGGTTCAAGCTGCACGTATATTAATAATTACGCTAGGTTATGTTTCATTTCTCTCGGTGGGAAAAAAGCCTGAGTGCTGGTGTTGGTATGCGACAGACTTACTGAAAGATGTTACTCTATCCTCGATAAACATCTGCTTTCTGTAGATTGTTAATTTTCAATTTTTCGCGACGTTCGTTGCGCGTAGATGATTTGTTTTTTTTTTTTAAAGGAAATCTTTCTTTTTACAGTTTCAAATTTTCCTTTGCTTCTTTCGTGTTACTGTATAATGTTTCCTAGTGTTTCCATAGAAAATAGTAAGCAGCGGTGAAGAAAATAGAATAGAAGATGGAATTGACGTATAATAAGAATCAAATAAAGCGCAGTAAACATAGTTTTAACGAGCTCTACGCAGGTTCTGTACATTGTAACAGCGTTTATACAAAAGTAGCAATGTACTGGTATCTACGAGAAGTTAACGACGTAATGTAATTTAAATTGCCCTTTCAAATATAAAGATTTGTGTACGTCTGGCATGTACATAACTTTTTTCATATAGGATACAGCTTCAATTTTCATTATTCCAATTTTTATTACCATTTCTATAATCGCATGTGTATCTTTATTTTATTTTGCTAGTTTTCCTAAAAATGTTTGCTTAACGTAGCTTCTACAGGCCCTCTGTGAAGACTATAATCCTATCAAATATATTTCCGCGTACGATTCATAACTGTAATCACCAAAATAACTCATACTTCGAAGTAGAAATTATTTCTTAATTTCTAATACATTTACATACACTCATATATTCGCGAATAAATTAATACTCGATCTGACTAACAAATTACCCAACCAACAAGATTATTACGCGAGTAATCCAACGGTTTAGCAAATTCTGTACAATTTCCACCACGAAATCAACAGGAATTACTTTCATTCGTGATCAGGTACATTATGCAATAGGGGATGAACAAATCATTCCCTCGCTATCTACGTTTCGGGTCACGTTTGCGCGCCCAGTTCAGCGAATATTATTATTCCCCGATTTTTCTTCCTCGATGCTTTCCAACTACCCCCGGCTCCTACCCTCCCAGATCGTTCGGAAATTCTTGATAATGCAAATCCATTGTTGCGAGCGGCCACCGAATCGCGATTTTCCGGAAGTCGAGCGACGGTTCAACGGCACGAATCAACGTCGGTGTCGCTACGATTGAAAGTATCAAGAAATAAAGAGAAACGAAATGGTAATCTCGGCGGCGCTAGCAGAGCGTCAAAGACGCAACGACGAAGGGGTGGCTTTTAAACTTCGGGTTATCTTTGCGGTTATCATCTAACGCCTCCACAAAGCCTGCCTTAAGCGTCACTGACGTGATTAATCGTTGTATACGAAAGCCTTCTTTGCCTCCTCTCTTTATTAACGAATCTTGAAGCGAACGTCGAGCTGTACCGGGTGAACCCCGAGAAACCAAAGACCTAAGTATCTCGGAATTCAATATTTTATCATTTTATTTGAATTCACGTTTCGAGTCCATATTTGTTTTCTCTTTGGTATACACGAGTGTTTTGTTGCATGCACAAACACTGTAGTACACTCGTCGTCCAATTTCAGTCACTGTTGCAACATAAATTGTCTTTTGGAAGTAAAGAGCAAATACTCTTCGATTCTGAAAAAGTCGATACCGTCGTCCTATCATGGATTATCCCAATTTTAGTAAGCAAACAAAATTATTCTCTACTAAACGGTAACATAAAAATTGTTACACACAGACCTCCCATCACTCGAAAGGTGACGGAAGATCGCGGAAACAGAGGATGTAGGTTTACAATTGTTCCTACATTTTTTATTTTATTTTTATTTTCAACCTTCGGTCCGGTTGGTGACGTTCAGACGATGTGTTCCTCGCGACTCACCCAGTATATTTACGGGGTTACAACTTTTGCTGCCCCTATAACGGGGGAGGACTTCTTTCGACCCCTTGTCGGGTAAAAGGGCTGCGCGGTGGAGTGCAGGAAAGTTAAATCGACCGGGGAAGGATAAGGAGCGAATAGAAATTCACGGTGTTATAGTGTACCGTTAAGTGAAAAAGACTTTTCATTAAGGTGGCGAGAGTGACTTTGATTTACAAACAAGGATAAAGCGATACTGCACTTCATATCCTTACTTATTTCTCAACACTTTAAAGCGAAGTGTACCTTGCTTCAGCTTATTCTTACTTTAATGGCGACTTGGGGATATAAGAACAATTGAAAAATATCTCGCGATTGACATTGCGAGAGTTTAGCTACGATGCGATATAAACGAGGTACCAATCAGTCCGTAAAACGGTTGTCCACCGATCTCGCGTTTAGAGTCGCAAACGAAGTTAGATGAATGCAATAGCGATATTATCGATGAAAATCACGATGACATCGGCGCGTATCGCATCGTTCTATTACACGGTTTGGATAACAACGAGCGTTTAATTAGCAGTTAAATACCAGTATTTGCGTCGTCTTTAAACAAACACGTACCCGGATTCCTCGTGTCTCGTTCGAGCGCGTTCATCGCGTTAACAACGATCCGGAGGGTATAGGTTCACTGTGACGAAACCTATTTGATACTAGAGGGGTTATTATACAGTTGGACAGTCGAAAAGGAGGCTCCATCTTGTGAATTTTAGAATTAAAAAAGTATAGAATATTAAAGCGAGATAGCTCGAGCTAGAGCTTTATTTAGAGTGTTTATTGTTAATTCAATGTAGCACTATTAAAGCGAGACAACACATTTGAGTATCAAAATCAATTTACAGATCAAAATTACTCTGGTTTTTGTGCGTTCGGTTAAAGCATATAAAAATCCACTTAAAATTCCTCCTTGAAAAAAATTAAAAATTCCAGAAAATTTCGTTGCTTTCATACCGGTGGATTCCGAGATCCCGAAACTCGAGTGACAAAACGCAATTTTAAGACTCTATTGCACAGTCGAATCCCTCCTTTCGTTAAACAGTTTCCGAGCGTCGCGATTGAAGTATCGGGGACTTTCATTTGAGCAAGCTCGCGAGTTTTCTAC